AAAGCATACATGTGTGACATCATCTGGCGCAACGGCCTCCAGCCTACTATATGAACACATAAACGGGCCGGGCCTCCCCCTCTTGGGTGCCCTCTACTCGCCATACTCTGATACTGACATAGTACCCTGGCACAGCTGCTGAAACTCTGTGCGTCATGCATCCCAAAGGGACTGAGGTACAAACTCTCTCAGGAACATCTCTGAAAACTGAAACCATAAAAGTGAAGCTGCCTCGGCCGAGCTACCCAACTCATACGCCCGCCACCACTGATAAGCCGCTCCCCTGAGTTGGAACGTAACAAAAGCAACCCCGCTCATCTCCACAATACCCATAGTGCAAAGAAAGCAGTGAAACTTCTACAGGAAATCCTGGGAATCATCTGTCGCCAATCCACTAAAGGTAGGAGGGTGGTACTTCTTGTACCTCTCAAGTCTAAGTTGTTCTTCCTCAGATGTTGATGCCCTAACCACGGGCTGAACTGGGACCACAGGCCGTGTCGCCATGATACCTCGAACCTGACCAACATGAACTCGCTGCTTTAGAGTGTGGGCGGCAGGAGTCTGAGCTCCTCCCCTGGTCTGTGAAGTAGCTGGTGCAACCGGAATCAATCCCGCTGAGTCAATGTACCAAACATACTCAGGAACTGTGCTAAGGTCTCCTGAAGTCTGGGGGTAATAGTAGGCGCCTCCGGTACCTCCTCCCCAACTTGAACAACCAGCGGCTCCTCAACTGCTGCTCTGGTAGGTGCCCTAGCTGCGGCACGTGCTCCTCGTCGGCCTCTGCCTCTGCCCCTAGCGATATCTGCTCTGGGGGAAACGCCATCAGAAACTACAGCTCGTGTCCTCACCATCTCTGAGAGAATGGAATGATAAAAGTTCGAACTCCAAGATCAATGAACTCGCACGATAGGAATGAAGGAAGTGAAACTGTCCTAATAGCTCCGTAGCCTCTCGAAGATAAGTACTGACGTCTCCGCACTGATCTGCAAGACTCTACTAAACTCGTTTATGACTCGTAGCGCTCATGAACCTAGAGCTCTGATACCAACTTGTTACGACCCAATTTCCCCTCTGTTGGGTATCGTGATGGCACCTAGTCTTAGGGACTAGGTAAGCCTAACATCTTCTGAATAATAACAATAATAAAGTAACATCTAATAATTTCTGAAATAAAATTCTCTATACAAGTTTACAATTCCCAAAACCGGTAGTACAAGTCATAAACTCTATAGAGTTTTACTACATTTTTCTAATACAACTGTTTGAAATAAAGTAAACAGTGGGAATACATATCAGAAGGTGACTCTGAAGCCTGTGAACGCAATAACAGGTTTACCTTGAGTCTCCAAAGCAGCAATCCGCACAGCTAATGATCAACTAACTTCGAAATACATAGATCTGAACAAAAATGTGCAGAAGTGTAGTCTGAGTACACCACGGCGGTACCCAACAAGTATCAAGACTAACCTCAGTGGAGTAGTGACGAGAAATATTCAAGACACCTACTGCACTAAACAACCTGAACGGGTATAAGTAAAGGAATAACAGAGTATGATATCTACATAAAGACTATACAAATGGCAATTAATGTGGTAATTACAGTAAGTAAGAAAAACAACAACTAACAGCGGTGCACCATAATAATGACATAAAAGAATGAGCGGAAACACAACATAAATCCGATAATCACAGATAAAGAAATGGACAAGAACAACTCAACAAAAAATGACCTTTTTCACAACAGGTTTTAGTCAATAAACTCCACGAGGTACCGAACCTCGGGCTAATCACAACTCACGGGTCTCAATACCTAAACCCTAACACTTGGCATCATGTGCCCTCATTACACTTCACAACCGCATTGACGACTCACATGCCAAATAGAGCCATTCTCACATAGAAGGCAAGTAAACAAGGGTGTGCATCTATACTCAACAATATGAAGAAAAAAAACTCTTAACCGATAAGAGTGCTTAACTACGTGTATGCTTGTGCAAGTGTCCTAACATAGTTCAAACCAGCTAGTAAGTATAAGAATAGGAACGAACAACACATAGAATGTTTTCTCACAACTTTCACAAGATAAATCTCATGCAGGTAAGTGTACCACTACACAAATATCAACAACAAGAATGCCCCCAGGCCATCACAAATCATGACAATTCAATCCCTGACATAGCCTACCTTGTCTCACCACGTGTGCAATAGTAAAGTAAATGCCCGCTTTGTCTCGTCACACATGTATAATAATGTTCCCACCTTGTCTCACCATATGCGCAACCCATATATATATATCCCGCCTTGTCACGCCGCATGTGCAAATATCAATAGTAACAACAGCATGGAAGAAACCTCGTACAACCCCATAACAATAACCGCATGGTAGAAACCTCGTGCATCACAATAACAACAACCGCATGGCAGAAACCTCGTGCATCACCACAATAAGTACAACAGCAAAAATGACAATAATACAAAGTATGGCAAGTAAATCAACTCAAGAACCTTCGATCACAAGAAATGGTAGAACTAGTTCACAAGGAATAACCATAATTAATGAATACCAGGCATAATAAGAACAACTCAACAAGGAAGAAAATAATATGTAACAATGGTCCCACAACGTACGGTTCAACAACAAGAAACTAACACGAGTCAAATAATTCCAAATAAGGGCAAGTCAATTAAGGCATAGGATATCTAAGCTTCTTTTAATGTTTGGCAATTACGAAAGATATACAACAAACTCCATTAAAGGTAAACAGTGGGAAGATAACCATAACCTCAATTAAGGATGGACAATTACAAAAGGGATAACTATAACTTCAAACAAAGATAAGTAGTTAGAGGAATGATAACATGGCAATAGAAGAGATAATAGTTCCAATTAAGGCACATATGAATCAAATAAACAATAAGAGTGGATCGTGAAGAAATTAGTTCTAACTAAAGCATGTAAAGGTGAAGCACGTCATTAAGAAAAGTATTCATAACAAAACAACTGCATGATCAGCGAACACAAGGACCTGAGAACCCTAAAATGCCAATTTCCACAAATAAGTCCGAGCACATACTCGTCACCTCGCGTACACGGACTACAATCAACATAGAAGACTCAAATCCTAAGGGGTAGTTCCCCCACACAAGGTTGGGCAAGATACTTACCTCAAAGAAGACAAACTGATACTCTAAAATGAACTTCTCGGGTGAAATGAGATTCGGACGGCTCAAATCTAACCATAATAACTTCAAAGCACAAATAAAACTCATAAGAAACTATTCTGGATCATAAAGTCTCAATCTTTATTAAAATCTAAAAATCGACCCAAAAGACGACCCCGGGCCCGTACCTCGGAACCCTGCAAATTTAACAAAACCCGAACACCCATTCCTATATGAGTTCAACCATACTAAAATTATCAAATTCCGATACCAATTCGTCCCTCAAATCATGATTTTTCATTTTGAAAACTTTCTTCAAAAAACACAATTTTTCCCCAACTCAAAACACAAATTAAATGATAAAAATAAAGATAAAATCATGGAATATATTAAATTCTAGGTGAATAACACTTACCCAATCGATTTGCTTGAAAAACCCACAAAGAAGCTCCCAAAACCGAGGTCTAAAACTCAAAATATTATAAAAATGGCCTAACCCTCGGTTTGAAGATCTTATATTCTGCCCAGGACTTTATGCATCGCGAACGCGGAGAAAGGATCACGTTCACGAAGAAGATAAATGAGGCTGCCAAGAAAACCCTTCGCGAACGCGAGTGAAGGGACACTTACGCGAAGAACAAGGGACAGGAACTTACGCGAACTCGAGATAATAGCCGCGTACACGAAGAAGAAAAAGGCAAAACTTCACGAACGCGAGCGTGTGAATGCGAACGCGAAGAAGAAATATGAGGTGGTCAACAGAAACACTTCACGAATGCGAAAGGCACTTCGCGATCATGAAGAAGAACATCACATGACAGAAATAACAGTTCAAAAATAGGAGGAAATGACTCGTAGCCCATCCGAAACACACCCGAGGCCCCCAGGACCCCGTCTTAACACACAAACAAGTTCTATAACCTAACACAGACCCGCTCGGGGTCAAGAATCACATCAAACAATGCAGAAAGTACAAATCGCACCAAGAATCGAACTTATGAACTTTCAAATCTTCCAACTTCGATAACACGTATCGAAACCTATCAAACCAACCCGGAATGACGATAAATTTTGCAGGCAAGTCCCAAATAACATGAAGGAGTTGTTCCAACTCTCGGAATCGCATTCCGACCCTGATATCACCAAAGTCAATTATTGGTCAAACCTCCCCACCTTCCAAACTTCAATTCTTTTCCAACTTTCGCCAAAATACTTCAAATCACCTTACGGATATCCAAATCCAAATCCGGACGCACGCCTAAGTTCAGAATCACCATACAAAGCTGTTGAAACCATCCAAACCCCATTCCGGTGCAATTTACATAAAAATTAAATTCCGGTGAACTCTTACCGCTTAAGCTTCTAAAACTTGAATCCTTATTCCGATTTGACTCCGAATCATCCGGTAACTGAATTCAACCATGCATGCAAGTCAATACCCATAATACAAAGTTGCTCAAGACCTTATGCCACCGAAAAAAACTTAAATTCTCAAAACGACTGGCCGGGTCGTTACATGATCATTTTATTTGCTTTATAGGTTAGTTTACATTTTTGTAATTAGATATAAATTTTATCTCAAAATATTTCTAGGTGTTTGGCTTAGCAAAATAAGTGATAATTCTCTTACATGCCTAATCGCCTACATATTGTTATCTGTGGGATTCGACCCCGACTCATAGTTGGGTAAATTATATTGCATGCGATCATGTCATTTACTTTTTAGTAGTGGATTTGGATGTCATCATGTATTTCCTATAGACCTGCCAGGCATGGCACCCGATAGGGATATTGATTTGGTATCGGGCACTCAGCCTATCTCTGTTCCACCATATCGCATGGCACCAGCGGAGTTGAAGGAGCGGGTACATGAATTTCTTGATAAGGGTTTCATCAGGCCTATCATGTCACCTTGGGATTCACGGATGCTATTTGTGAAGAAGAAAGATGGTTCTATGTGGATGTGCATTAACTACATGTATTTGAACAAGGTTACTATCAAGAACAAGTATCCACTATCGCGTATTGATAATTTATTCGATCAACTTCAGGGTTCTAGGCTATTCTTGAAGATTGACTTGAGATCGGGTTACCATCATTTAAAGATCATGGCTTCGGATATTCTAAGTTATTTTTTAGGACCCCTTATGGGCATTATGAGTTCTTGGTGATGTCTTTTAGGTTAACCAGTGCCTTAACAGCTTCATGCACTTGATGAATAGAGCATTTCAGACTTATCTGGGTTCCTTTGTCATTGTATTTATTGATGATATATTGGTTTTTTCTCGCAGTTTGGAGGAGCATGAGCAACACTTGAGGATTGTGGTCCAGATTTTGAGGGAGAAGAAGTTATATGCTAAATTCTCCAAGTTCGAGTTCTGGTTAGACTCGGTGGTGTTCTTGGGCCACGTGGTATCTAGTGAAGGGATTAAGGTAGATCTGAAGAAGATTGAGGCAGTTCAGAGTTGGCCCAAACCTTCTAGTGCTATGGAGATTCGGTTTTTTCTTGGGTTGGCTGAGTATTATTGTCATTTTGTGGAGGGTTTTTATCTATAGCAACCCCATTGACTAGATTGACGCAGAAGGGTACCCCATTCAGGTGGTCTGATGAGTGTAGGGAGAGATTTCAGAAGCTCAAGACTGACTTGACTACGACTCCAATTCTAGTTTTGCCTTCGGGATCGGTTTCTTAAATAGTCTTTTTTGATACTTCACAGATCGGCATTGGGTGTGAGTTGATGTTAGATGACAGGTTGATATCTTATGCTTTACGTCAGTTGAAGACCCATGAGAAGAATTACCCAATACACGACCTGTAGTTAGCAGCCAATGTTCACGCGCTCAAGATTTGATTGCACTATCTTTATGGTGTATCTTGCAAGGTGTTCATAGATCACATGAGTCTGCAGCATCTACTCAGGCAGAAAGATTTGAACTTGAGGCAATAGACGTGGCTAGAGCTATTGAAAGACTATGATATCAGCATTCTTTATCATCCGGGGAGGCCAATGTGGTGGTCGATGCCTTGAGTAGGAAGGCGAAGAGCATGGGAGTCTTGCCTTTATTCTATCTTGGGAGAGACTGTTAGCTTTGGATGTTTAGGCATTGGCCAACAGGTTCGTGAGGTTGGATATTTCGGAGCCTAGTAGGGTTCTTGCTTATGTTGTATCATTGTCGTCCTTGTTTGAGCGAATCAATGTGCATTAGTAAGAATATTCCCACTAGCATTTCCTAAGGGACACAGTGCAACACGGTGATGCTAAGGAGGTGACTATTAGTGATGATGGGGTATTAAGGCTTCAAGGCCGGATTTTTATGACTAATGTGGATGGATTGCGAGAGTTGATTCTTAAGGAGGCCCATAGTTAACAATATTCCATTCACTGGGGCGCCGCAAATATTACTGTGATTTGAGGCAGCATTATCGGTGCGGAGAATAAAGAAGTACATTGTTGAGTATGTTGCAAAGTGTTTGAACTGTCAGCTGGTTAAGTATGAGCATTAGAGGCCTGTTGATTTGATTTAGAGGCTAGATATTCTAGAGTGGAAGTGGGAGCGTATCACTATGGATTTTGTAGTTGGGCTTCCACGGACCTTGAGGAGATTTCATGCAATGTGGGTCATTGTGGACAGACTGACCAAGTTTGCACACTTCATTCCAGTCATGACTACCTACTATTCAGAGCAGTGTGCCCGTGTCTATTATCTCGGATCAAGGCACTAAGTTCACATTGCATTTCTGGAGAACAGTGTAGCGTGAGTTAGGAACACAAGTCAAGCTGAGTACGACGTTTCATCCCCAAACGGACATGCAATCCGAGCGTACTATTTAAATTTTGGAGGACATGTTGTGAGCACGTGTCATTGTTTTTGGTGGCCAGTGGAATCGGTTTCTACCATTAGTAGAGTTTGCCAAAAACAACAGCTATCAGTTGAGTATCCATATGGCTCCTTACTAGGCCTTATATAGGAGGCAATGTCATTCTCTCATGGGTTGGTTTGAGCCCGGGGAGGCAAAATTGTTGGGCACTGATATAGTTCGGGATGCAAAGATAAAATTAATTCAGGAGCTGCTTCGTATAGCGTAGTCCAGGCAGAAGAGTTATGCAGACAAGAAGGCTCCTAATGTGGCATATATGGTGGGTGAGAAGGTTCTACTTAGAGTTTCACCCATTAAGGGTGTAATGAGATTCAGGAAGAAGCGCAAGTTAAGCCCTCAGTATATTGGTCCATTTAAGGTCTGAGAGTGGGTTGGTGAGGTAGCCTACAGACTTTCTTTGCCACCTAGCTTATCGGGAGTTCATCTAGTATTTCATGTTGCCGCACCCCCTTTTCTCGCAAAAGCGGGTTTCGACGTGTGACAACTCTTTTAAATGGGTATTAAAAGAGAAGAGTCGCTACCTAATGATTTTGAGGTGGGTTAGCGGGAGCCCTTACCCGATCTTTGGTAACATAATATTGAGGTGTGTTAGGGCACCTATTGAACTATAATATGTGGATTATTGAATTATAATTACCCTATGTGATCATATATGACTCGCTACGTATATGGACCCCTATAAATTGTCCCAGAGGAAGAAAGATTACCCATAAGTAAATCGTAAGCTGCCAGGAATACAGGCCTATGGAAGGTAGAAAGACAAGTAGGATGTCTAGTAAATATTGAACTATTTCCCTAAGGGGGAGACGAGGTGGTAAAGCACTAAGTCGAGAGAACCTTTGTTTAACAGCAAAAATATAGGAGAATTGGGACACTAAGGAGTATAAGCAACTTTAAAGTAACGCACGGGTAAAAACAATATGTAAAAGAGATGATATTTTTTTATAACTTGACGACAAGCGTAGTCAAACACTTTATACATAGGAATGTTAACCCGAAGAATGTGTTAAAGTGGGAATATATGACTCCAAAGGAAATTGCTGAGATTTAAAGGACAAGGAAGAGCAATCATAAGGAGTTAGAAAGGGACCCGAGTACAATGACTCTTGAAATTAAAGATAGCCCATGGTAATATCTAAATGTTGCAACTGTGAGAGATAATCGAGATGATAGCAAGAACAAGGGATTTATGTCACGACCCAAATATCAACATGTCGTGATGGCGCCAATCAAAATAATAGGCAAGCCGACAATCACAAAATAACTACACATTTTAAAACTAGAAGCGTGATATATTAAGTTTAATAGTAAAAATTCTCATAAATAACTTATAAGAACAACTGCGACTCAACTACAAAATCTCCCAAAATCTGGGTGTCACTGAGTACATGAGCTACTAAGTGTCAACATGATCTAAACCTCTAATACAACTGTCTGAAAGATAGAACAGTACAAAATAAATTGAAAGGACGGAGAGTCAAGGTCTGCGGGTATCATAGCAGCTACCTCAATAATCTCCAAGCAGATACTGCACCAACTCTAACAATCTCTGTGCCCCAAAGTACCTAGATATGCTCACGAAGTGCAGAGTGTAGTATGAGTACAACCGACCCAATGTACTCAATAAGTAACAGGACTAACCTTGGGCTGAAAGTAATGAGAGCTAGAAAGGTACAGTCTAAATCCAGATAATAATAGTACATATATAAAAGGGAAATTATTTTAATAACTCAAAGAAATCCCATAATCAATTTGTACACTGTACAGAAATGTAGACATGCTTTTACGTTTAATAGTTTAAGTTCATCACTGATAAAATATGCCAAGTATAATTGGCATGAGGAATGTTACATCTCTATGTCAACATATCAAATGTGCATGTCACATGTAATGCATCACAATAATAAACTCATGTACTCATACTCTCAGAGTACTCAATCTCACTGTCTCACACTCCCACTCATCACTCTCAATCACTCAGCACACTCAATTACACATCACTGTACGGTACCTGCGCTTACTGTTGGTATGTCAGACTCCGAAGGGGTAGATCCTACCCAAGCGCTAATATAAAGCCAGTATGGCCTGCTGCGACGTGCAGCCCGATCCCATAATAATAGATAAAGATGAAATGGCCTACTGCGGCGTGTGGCCCGATCCATAATAATAATATATATAAATCCAAGAATGCATGCTGCGACATGCAGCCGATTCACAACCTCACTCACAACACTGCCCTCAGGCCCAACTCAGTCATCAATCTCTCCAGTATCTCGAGCTCACAAATCTCATGCTAATCAGCCCAAGTGATGATAACATAAGGAAACAATAAATGACAACAGAGACTGAGATATGATATGCAAATGATGAATATAATTGAGTACATAATTGCAATTTATGTAAATAATTCAACAGCAAAAATGACCTCAACGGGTCCCAACAGAATAGCCTAAACATGATTTCTAACATGGATTGCAACTCGATTACTCTAACGCGTAGGGATTACATGAATAGCAACCAGGTTTGGTAACTACACGGTACCGCGGAATCAACCACGTCACAATTACCACGGTGCATGCCCACACACCCGTCACGTAGCATGTGCGTCACCTCAATACCAACCACATAATACATATTTCAGCGATTCATACCCACAGTACCAAGTTTAGAAGTGTTACTTACCTCAAACCGCACAAATAACAACTCCAACAAGCCCTTGCCTCGCGAATCAGCTTCCGAAAACTCGAATGTAATCACAAAAAACCTAATTTAACCAATACAAGCTATAGGAATTGATTCCATACGATAAATCCCAACTCTTTAACCAAAGTAAAAAAATAACCCAAAAAGTCAACCCGGGCCCACATCTCGGAAGACGACAAAATTCATAAAATCCGAACACCCATTCAACAAGTTCAACTATACCAAAATCATCCAATTCCGACCACAAATCAACCCTCAAACCCTAAATCTTACTCTCCAATACCTAGTCTAAATTTCCCCAAATTTAAATTTAAAAACACATAATCTAGGTGTAGAAATCAATGGGTATTTAATGTTATTGGACAAAAGTGATAAACAAGATGGCTTACCTCTTGATTTGTAATGAAAACCCTCTCAAAAATCGCCCCTAGCCGAGCTCCCCAAGTCCAAATATGAAATTTTTACTCTAACCCACGATTTGAGATTTTAAATAGTCTACCTAGTGGATACATTACGCGATCGCGGCATTACCCATGCGATCGCGAAGAACAAAATCTTGAGTAGCCAAAAATCTCCTACGCGAACACACTCTCCTGCTTGCGAATGATGTGAGTAAACTCCCAAATGTACGTGATCACGGACTCACACATCGATCGCGTAGACCAACGCGTCTGACTTCATAGGCCTCTTCTTCCTTCATTACGAACGCGGCACCACTCATGTGTTCACGTAGCACTAACTCCCCAAGCTTCATGATCGCAGTCCAATTCTCGCAAACGCGTAGAACAACTTCACACCTGCCATACTTAACCCTTCGCGATCGCGACCCCCTTCCCATGATCGCATAAGAAGAAACCAGATACCGGAAACATCAGCAATCCCATAAGGCCGCCGGGACACCATCCCAACATACCAAATTCGATTGATTTCATATTTTGCACACAAGTCATAAATGACACAATATACCTATTCCTACTCTCTGAACCAATATCCGAGTTCGGTAACAACAAAGTCAACTCTCGGTCAAATTTCTCAACTTTTCAAACCTTCAACTTTCCAACTTTCGCCAATTCAAGCCAAAACAATCTATGGACTTCCAAATCAAAATCCGGATATACCCCTAAGTCAAAAATCACCTTACAAAGCTATTGAACTATCAAAACTTCATTCTAGAGTCGTTTACTCATAAGTCAACATCCGGTCAGCTCTTTCAACTTAAACTTTCAAACTTGGGACTAAGTGTCCCAATTTCTTTCGAAACATCCCCGGAACCAAACCAACCACCTCGGCAAGTTACATTACAACAAACGGACATAGAGTAAGAAATAAATAGGGGAATGAGGCTACAATACTCAAAACGACCGACTGGGTCATTACATTCTCCCCCTCTTAAGCAAACGTTCATCCTCGAACGTGTCTAGAATCATACGTGGAGTCTCAAATAGCTGTATGTGGATAGCTTCTCCCCATCTCCCGCTCATTCTCCTAAGTAGCCTTCTTGAGTGGCTTACCTCTCCACTATACTTTCACTGAAGCTATATTTTTTTATCTCAACTTTATAAACTGTCGATCCAAAATGGCCACCGGCTCCACATCATAAGTCAAATAACTATCTAACTGAACCGTGCTGAAGTCCAAAACATGAGACGGATCACTGAAATACTTTTGGAGCATGGAAACATGAAACACGGGATGAACACTCAATAGACTAGGTGGCAATGCAAGCTTGTAAGCCACCTCTCCAATCCTCTCAAGCACCTCAAAAGGGTTGATATGTCTAGGGCTCAGCTTTCCCTTCTTCCCGAACCTCATAACACCCTTCAATGGCGAAATCTGAACAATACCTTCTCTCCAACCATGTAAGCAACATCACAAACCTTCCGATCGGAGTAACGCTTCTGTCTAGACTGTGCTGTGCGAAGCCGATCCTGAATCAACTTAATGTTTTCCAAAGCATCCTGAAACAAGTCAGTACACAATAGCCTAACGTCACCCGGCTCAAGCAACCCAACCAGAGACCGACATCGCCTACCATATAAGGCCTCATACGGAGCAATCTGAATACTCGATTGGTAGTTATTGTTTTAAGCAAACTCTGCAAGTGGTAGAAACTTATCCAAAGAACCCCCGAAATCCATGACACAAGCGCGTAGCATATCCTCCAATATCTGAATAGTGCACTCGGACTGTCTGTCTGTCTGAGGGTGGAATGTTGTACTCAACTCAACCCTGTGCCTAAGTCTCGTTGTACTATTCTCCAAAACTGCAATGCAAACTGCGTGCCCCGATCTGAAATAATAGACACTGACACACCGTGAAGGCAAACAATCTCGCAGATATAGATCTTAGCTAACAACTCCGAAGAATAGGTAGTCCCAATTGGAACGAAATGCGCGGACTTAGTCATCCAGTCCACAATTAGCCAAATAGCATCAAATTTCTGCAAAGTCCGTGGGAGCGCAACTACGAAGTCCATGGTGATACACTCCCATTTCCGCTTAGGAA